AAGGGACAACTGGGGCTAAGCAAATCTCATGGCACCTTACCATAAATTTCTGTAGCTTATAAAAAAAGTCGTTCTCAAGTAAATTCCATACTTTTCTGTTGCCTAACAAGAGGAGATCCTCGTACATGCAAAAGAACGTCTCTAACGCAAATGGTAAACTCTCTGAAAAATTAATGAATTAACAAAATTTCACATGCTAAGCCCCCGTTTGGCCCCTATTTTGTGGAAATGAAAATGGGTGGAATAGTGTTTTATTGAAAAACGAGTGGTTAAAAAAGAAGAAAAAAATTTCGGTTTACATGTAATATTATTTTATGAAAGATTGGGTGGTTAAAAATAGAAAAGAGAAAAATGAAATGTAATGGAATGGAAATTAATGGGGGCCAAACGGGGGCTAAGGATAAAGAGGACAAGAAGGGTAACCGTGCATCTTTATGAAGTAAAACAGTTACAAATGTTTTGGTGCGCATTAATTGGCTGTTTTGCGGGTTATATATTTCTTCGTTTTTCTTTTTGGTGTTTCTAGCACTGTCTGCTACTGTTGGTTTCGCGGAGAAAAGCATTTATAAATGTATTTGTAGTCCAATTGGATTGTTTAATTGGTTATGGATTGAAAACTAGCATCCAACTATATGAATTATTAGAATGTTCTTGTCAATTGCAAAAACAAATGCATAAATTTTAACTTTTGGTCATGTGAATGCCAATGCTAAAGCAAAGGCACTTGTATTATTACGAATCAGTATTGATTATTCTTAGATTTTATTTCTGTACCATTCTGCCCTTTTTTCCTTCTATATTTTTGTACGTTCCTTCATTCCTTCTTGGTTTTTGCTACGAATCAGATGATGTGGGGTGAAATCAAGTGTAGCAGGTGAGTAGCATATGTTTGGCAATTGTTTATAAACATAAGTGGTGTATAAGTGGGTAGTACTTATGGGTCACACAAAATGTGGATAAAAAGTGGTTTGCTTATAAACAATCGCCAAACATATGCTTTTGAAAGACATGAAAGTGAATTAGGTGTTGCTGTTGTGTGGTATTAAGGAAACAAAAAAGGACAAGGAATGGGTTGGAGTAGGAGCGGATACGAGAGCAGAGGCAGATTGGGGGACTACTGTTTCTATGCTTCTCATCCCCCACCCCCGTCTCTCTCCCCCTTCTGCTGCTCCCTTGTTTCCATGTACTATTAAATTTCTATTCAAATGTCAAGCATTTAATCATCCTGGCCAACTTGGTTTCTGTACTTCCTCTTCCCGCCATAAACCAAACTATGACATATTTCTGGTCCTTTTTAAGGAAGACCATAAGTATCACATTTCTCTGCTCTGCATAATAATTGCTTCTCTTTCAGTATTTGTCAGCTAGTTTGGGCTCCTGGCCAAGATATCATAAAACAATGAATTCTTTTGTGAAATATTCAAATGCTCTCCTGGTGGGAGAGAGCTGTTCTGACTGTTTTTTGTTTCTCTGATGTGATTCTACAGGTTATAGGAGGGACTGGAAAACATTGGAAAATCTTCGGGCTGAGAGGCAAGCAAAAATAGATGAACTCAAGGAGAGAACAAATTACTACACCACCCAAATGTTAATACAGGTGATGACTGGAAGCAAGCTATGTGATCTGCTTGTATTAATATTTTGTATTATGTGCATCGAAACCTATCTACAAAATGGAAGTAGTTGATCAAAGATGCTGGCTGTGAATAGTTAACTTATAATTAAGGTGTCTCAGTAAGTCTGTGGTCTCTAAAACTTCCATGTATATAGCATATGATTCCACCCCGTTTTAGCCGATTTGAAATACAATAGATCCTTACATGGAATCTTCAGTGCAGAGGTATGACCTTGATCCAGCAGCTAAGGCAGCTGCTGCAACTGTCCTGGCATCCAAGCTAGGCGCAGATTCTGGTCTCAATGTCTATTTCATGGATGAGTCTAAGCTGAATGCCCCAGCTGAAAAGACCAATGAAGTGGAAGTTGCAAGGCCTGATGGACTTAGAAATCGGAAGCCATCTAATACAAAATCTAGCAGCATGAACGTCCATCATCCTGAAGAAGGAATGCTTAATCATGCAGAATTCGAGAGCCATGATATTTCCGAGCGTCAACAGGTGGTTGTGGAGCATCATCATCATCAAACTGGTTCAAGCACACATGATGGTGGATGGATTGCTCGAATTGCAGCATTGCTCGTGGGAGAGGATCCAACACAATCTTATGCACTTATATGCGGAAACTGTTGTATGCACAATGGTAAAATGAATTTATGGAATTAACTATAGCTAGAACTGTTTCAAATTTTACAAAATTACATCATCTTTATTCATGTTTGCAGGGCTTGCAAGGAAAGAAGACTTTCGTTATATAACTTACTACTGCCCACATTGCAATGCTCTGAATAAACCAAAGCTACCCGATCAACACGTTTCTGGCTCGACTTCCCCTAAAATGACTTCCTTAATGAACGTGGACGATGCAAAGGTGACAAGAAATGCTGATGATTCCACCATTGACAGTTTATCTGCTGGCAGTAGCCCTGTGGCTGCTCCTTTGGAGACTCCCGATGGTGAAAAGATAACAACTGGTGGTTCGGTTAACTAGTGGTGTACTTGATGTGCATTTATACCAGGTCAGACGGTGCTGTTTTCGTGAGCGTTGTAACTGTAATAGGTTTCCTTGTTTCATCTTTAGCTGAGACTTGTATTATAAAAGAATCTTGATGGCAAGTTTTATGTCATTATATAGCAGAAGACCTCTTCTAATTTTGAGTTATACGTGTAATGGTAACGAATTTTGTCGATTGAGGGAATTTTTCTGGACTTAAGACTCAATCCGCGGTTGAGGATGGTGCTGTGCCCAAGTGGCAGTTGAGTGGTTCTATGGATTTTAAGTTTTGCAGATTCATGTTGTTTGGCAAATTAAATCTCTTTTAAACCCTTACAAATCTATCTCTAAAAGATATTTTCAATATCTCAAGGGACTTCTTTCAATATCTTGTAAACAGAGGTACTCGAAAGTCGAAAAATAATTCTACAGCCTTGCAAGTTGGCAGAAACATGACGTCAAGTTTTTTATTGTTGTGGACAGTTCATCATGGAGACAAAGCTTTGATGTATTCTGATTTAAGAGTTCTATTATAGAAGTTAGGCTATGTTTGATTGGTTCAAATTTAATGGAAAATGGAATTCTAATTTCACTTTCTTTCAATTTTGTTTGTTTGATAGGTTTTGAATTCCATGGAATTTGGTTTTTTGATTTTCTTGGAACTTGAAATTTTCTTGATTTTCCTTGAAAACCAATTCCCACCTTCTAGTTCCCTGTTACGTTTTTTTATTTTTTTATTATTATTAATTTTTTTTTTTTTTTGGGTAATGGAAACAAATTCTAAGAAATGTTGTACAGAAATATTTCATTTTAATTGGCAATTTTTATATAAAATAAAGTCAAACAAACACTAAAAGATAAATATTTTTCTTGATTTTTTTTTTTTGTTGGCAATGGAAACAAATTTTATTTCCAGTATCGGTAAAATCTATCTCTTTAATTGACAATTTTCATATAAAACAAAGTCAAATAAACACCAAAAAAAGAACTTTTATTTTAATATTTTTCACGTGAAAAATTATACCAATCAAACACAATAATTTACAATTCTCAGGAAAACAATTTTTAGGCAATTCAATTCCCTAGAAGTCGTTTTCAATTCAATTCAATTCAATTCCATCTTTGCAATCAAACGGGTCCTTAGACTTGTTGCAGATCGTGTCAATGGTAAATGAGTGTTAATGTCGAATTTTGAGGGTCCCAATTTATTGAAATTTTTATTTCAAGAAACGAAAGATTTTTCCATTGGTAAAAATTAAAATAATTCGTTTTAATGACTTCAATTTATCCGCAAAAACTATGTTTTTAAATCAAATAATAAATATTAGCAACGGAGTAACTGTAGTAATTAACAGTTAAAATAATAATTTAAGATTAATTGTGATTCTTCTAAGCCAATGATTAGCAACCGAATTATCGTCAGTGATTGTCGTCATCACTGATTAGATTGTTATCAATGGTGGATTATTTACAGATTACTACTGGTAATTTTGCTACTGATTTGCTCCAAGCTGCTTTAACTCTTTGATTGAAAGAATTTCTTATTAATGCTTAAAATTTATATGTCCTTCTTAAAGTTTGAAGTACGCTATCAAATCTTACTGTACCAGCAGAGAGTTTAAAAGGGATCACGATAACAAGACGTGGTATTAGAAGGGAATAAAGACCAAGCTATCAAGAGTGTATATGTAATTCGAAATGATCTCCGTAACTTCAATGTCAACATAAGTCAAGCATCGATAATATGTCAGTGTGTCACATAAATTAATTGATGGATCATCACAAGAAAGTGAAAGATGTCCAAGTTGATTACCGCAAGTTTGTAGTATTTCACTGCGTCAGCAAATGTTGCTATCAATGTTTTGGTAGATAAATCTATTGTGGTTGAAAATAATTTTATAACATATACTAATAAATGTGATAAATACTAACAAGTCCTTTGAATAAGAGTAATGATATTCAGTTCTAAGCACTCGTCTATGTGATAGTGAGATCAATGTCATATTGTCCTATAAAATTATAAGATTTGTTTGTTTCCCATTTTAATAAGTTTTTGGACCGTCGGCAATGTAACAACCATCTCAGTAGCTCACAGTTGGACCTATTTTCAGGAAGGCAAAGGTCATATAATGCATTTTAGGGTTGAAAATTTAAAAAAACACAAGGGCACATAATGCACTATTATTCACTGGATACAGTGATATTGACCCACTGATACATATGGGTACTATGCACGAGACTGAATAGTTATTCCTTAAATGATAACTTACTAAAATCGTCTCGCACGACTTCTAGTCTATGCTGGTAACATGTTGAAGCTAGATACTCAAAAACATAGTATCAATTATCATTTGAAATTAAATTTTTTTCCTTTCATCTATCTACTGTCAGGATGAAAATCAGAACTAATTTTGCTTGGTCTCACATTACAAAAGTGAGCCAAAATTCATACAATATCAAACGAATTTCTCATAGTTTTAATAGGAATCTAATCATTGTCAAATCATCATTCGTTCAAGTTATGAATTGGCATATTCTGCAATGGAATCGAAAAAAGAAAAGAAAAGAAAAGAATATTGATCTCTATCCTTTGTGAGCAAAAACTCAAAACTTGATATCTATCAGATGCGGCAGCATTCTCAACTCGAATATGGCTTTACTTATGATTTATGAACCAGAGACGGGGAAATAACTGCATGCAACTAAACTCTGTCCCTAGCAATCATGTCTTCGATGACATAACCTCAATGGCACTACCTAGTGGCCATGCTGCTTCAACCAGCGAATTTTGGTACTCGACTTTTTTCACCAACGTAATCTCTTGATTTGGGTCTAGGCCTGTTCAATGAAAACGTGATTGCCCATAAAATTGAGCAACGGTGAATTCTAGATACGAATTATCAAACAGTTCGTAGCATTATCACTTACCAAACCCATCTATGAGCAGTGTGTATTGATAGGTGAGATCCATGCATAAGTACGGTAAATTATCTGGATCCACACGAGGATATCTAGATTTGGCGTCTACCAGTTTCATTTGGCAAGCAATTTTCGCTGCATCCTCAAAATCAGCTGGACGGACTTTAGCAACAGCCTTGTTTGGATCCACAAAACCGGCCTATGTGCAAGTAATGCATTATATGATGTCAGAAAACTGAGATACTTAAAAAGTGGGGCATGTTTGGTACATAGAAGTGGACGGGACTGATCAATAGTAAGTAAGAAAAAGAAGTAAAATCTTGTTTTAGTACTTTACAGTCCCATCTGGTGTTGCTTACAAAACATGCTGTGAAAGAAGAATACTTTGAATTGGCAGCACTTTTGCAAGCGTCTAAAACAAAACAATTTATACCTCAGCCGCCCGATCAAAGAAAAATGAAGCAACAAATAGATTCTTCCGACCATCCCCTCCTCCGCCATTCCACACCCCGCCAAAAGTGCACTGCATGTAGGTGCATGTAGGTTCATTAATTTTAAGAGCCTTATTAGCTGCTTCTCTACATGGATTCAAGCTCGAACCAGATGAGACAGCAGATGCATCATATTCTTCTCCTCCATATTTGTACAAACCTTGTGTGGAAAATGTGATGGATCCATAAGGATTAACTTTATTGCCAAATAATAAAATTACAGAGCAAAAAATGCCATTAAAATAGTAACAAAGTTACAAATACTGCTAATTTCTGGAAAAAAAATAAATTCCTGCAAGCTTTCATATAAAATAAGAGGACAACAGGAAAACGTGTCAAATAAAGCTCATGTGAACGGTCACAAAATGAGTCTGCTAACCTTCCAGTACTAGAATAAAACTTGTATTTGAAAGAACACCAAACAGATGGTTTTGAGTCTTTTGACTCTGTGATATGATTGTAATGGCAGAACCTACATTTTACTATGATCGACTTGTAAGCAGTCAGCTTGATTGTTACAGGTGCACAATCTACACAAACCTGTGATGCATAATGATTTTCAATTTAGTTTAATATGTAAGCAGAAGTACATGCCCAAGCCATTAATAGCCTTATCACAAGTGTTCTGCAGAGAATAATTTGGGTAAGATTTGAAAAATAAATATCATACTTTATTCCATTTTTCTTTTCCTATTGTTGATGGATAAAGGATTTACTTATTATCGAGAGTTACGTGAGGATGTCAATCATCAACCAATAATTCATTAATATAGAAGTATTTTTATAAACTATTGCTCCAGGAAGCCAATTGCACTGAGAACCCTGGAGCACTGTGCTTCAGCAGACTCGTGGAAATTATTCCCTATCCACGCTTGAGTGTGTGTGAGAGAGATAGATAGAGAGAGAGAGAGAGAGAGAGAGAGAGAGAGAGAGAGAGAGAGGGATATTTGCCAATTAAGATACCACTTAAAAATAATACTTCATTAGCCAGGACATGGGATTCTAAATAGTGAAGCGGCCAAACAAGGATGTTATAGCTAAAATAATTTATGAAGAATGTTCTACTTTGGGGAAAAAAAATTCTCGTAATTTGGTTTCAAGTTTTGGCTTGCTTGCTATGTTAAATGGTGATGAATTATTTATAATTTAACATTAAAAACAACTGGCATGTAAATTTTCCAACACCCTCCAAATTCCAGATCCTTAGCCATATAGCAGAGGAGCATGAATGAACAAACAATCTTATCTGAAGAAATCACATGATACATGGATTTACTTTCTCGATAACTTTTTTTCACATTAGTTTGCAATTGTATACCTTCAAGGCACAAAATATTCCCTTTATTCAAGATAGATAAAAAATGTAACATGTGAGAGTTATACGTCACCCAAGATAAGAGTTATACATCATCCAAGAAACCTTGCAAATTGTACTAGAAAATGAACAGGAAGCAATAAGGGTGTGTTTGATTACATTTATTTTCCATGAAAAATATCAGTTTTCTATCCAAATTCCTACTTGAGGTGTTTGATTGCTAATTTTTTCCATGGAAAACATTTTCCAACTTTTGAAAATATGCCTAATTTTCCTTGTTTTTAAGGAAAACATTTTCCTTGGGTGGAAGTGGTTTTTATTTTCCACAAAAGAAGGAAAATATTTTATTTTCTAGATGATATTTTCCATGTCAATAAAAAACACTCTAATAGAATCCTATCAGGGAGTATTTGCGACTTCTGAAGGCAGGCAGTGTCGCTAAGTGGTTGATATGTGGTCTATGTTGTAGTGCTCTTATCATGTTGCTTTTTTCAAAGCATTGGCAAAGTGAATATTAATTTTCACTTTTGTGTTCCCTTTTAGGGTCAATCATATTGATTTAATTATAGGAATGAATATTTTTTTAATATGGCTTACAAGGGGTTCACTGATTTAACTGTATTTCTAACCTTTGTGAGAACGAAAGTAACACTATCAACTCGATCGACACACACACACACACACACACACAATGAGCACCATTCTGCCCCAACATTCAATGTGAAATCAGGAGAACAAAAAGAAACATACCATTATAACCTGACAAGATGCATAGATTACCAGATACTCCAACCTCTAAGCCGTAGTGCAAGTAACTGTTCATCAAATGCATGTAATAAGTTATATATAGAAAGGCATGAAAGACATTTCCTCTATAAAGAAAGAGTAAATTCTAAATCAGCAATTATACTCTTAAAGAAAGGAATGAAAAACTCAATCATTTAGCAAGCAACATAGGGGGAGATGATTTCCGTGGAATGCTATTCCAGGAAGTCATCCTCTACAAAGTACAACTATTAATTTATCAGAGAGATAGAGATAAACCTGTGGACATAAAGGTTATATTTTCTACCCTTGAGATACATTTCCTGCACATAAGTATCCTCTCCATCTGATACCCTAGGAGCCTTTGCAGCATCAGCATCAGAGATGGCATATGCCATTTGTACAGATCCACCTCCAAGATCAATCACTCCAACAGTAGACGGATATTCTTTACCTAAATTTCCTAGTAAATAGTTGATTGTCACCTGCATAGACATGAAAAAATTCTAAATAATTCCACAACCACAGCTGGTAACAAGTAATAATATATCAACATAATAATAATAATAATCATCATCATCATCATCATCCAATTGATGTTACTTGTGTGCCTCACCCCAACCAAAAAAATAAAAATACAAATCTTCTCTCTCACTTTAAGTAAAGCTCATCAGCCATAGGAAAATGCTTTAGCACTTGTATGCATGAAGACTAAATGTTTGTCACCTTTTATCCTGCAACGTGTTAATCCTAAACTTTTAACTACACTAAAATGAAACACGAACTGAGATATCTATAGAGGCTGGAAATTAGATACTGGTAGCTCGATTTATGCGGTCAGATCATAAACGTGCAGTTCCGCTGCAGGTCAAACAGACAACTGTTATAAAATTCAGGTAACATCATAAACAATTTCTCCTTTTTTGCATCTCTTTCTTTTCCTTTCGCTGACAACATCCAATTTCATTAGTTAATATTCCCATAATTCTACCATTCAACAAAACAGAAATTTTGCAGCTTTCCACAAATTTTTACTTCCTTATGACAATAGACACTTCGTTGTTCTATACAGTAAAATTAATGATCATATTGCATCTGCGATCTATCCATAAATAATTCAACTGCATCACCAATGACCTTCCAAGCTTTTTTCTTGTAGTGTGCCAAAAGAGGGAAGCATATTTATTTCATTATTAACAGTTTGGGAACCAGAAGTATTATATGCACATGAAAAAATATTTCACAATGACATACCCATTGATAAGCACCTTCCTGATTTCCATCAAGAACGGTGACCCAATCTGCCTTGGACTTGAATGTGCCTCTGTTTTTCAAAAGATCCTTTACCTTTTAGCAAGGAATTTTGAGTTCATAAATATTTAATGATAAACAAATTATAATGAAAAAAATGAGCAAAAATTTGAAGGATGAAATATGCTCACTGCTTGCAATATCCTGTCTGGTGTATCGCCATCTAGTTGCCTAAGACCTGCTGTTGCCTGTATAGACATCATAATTAGTATTCCACGTGAATGGCAATAAAAATTAAAAATTAAAGACATGAAGTTACTGAAGCGGAAAACTGCTAACCCCAACTCTGACTGGTGTATCATGTTGCAATTCTTTTGGAACTGCAGCTTCTGCTTTCTCTAAAAGCTCTAGCAGAGAGTGAGCAGCAGCCTTGGGGTCATTGGCAAATGAACTCAAACCTGGTTTTCTCTGTAATATCAAAATTAGATTGAGACGTGAGAATAACAGAGTACGAGGAAAATATGAAGAAGTTTTTAATCACTGATTTTTCTATGAAATTTTTGTGCATTTAATTACACATATAAAATGTCTGTGTTTACATATTCTTAAATGCACACTCATATAACAGCCGTTCTTGTAAGTTTTAGCCCACAGGCTCAGTGCTACTGCTATAGGTCATACAACAACAAGAAGACGAAGCCAAGCCAAGCCTTATTTCCATTAAAATCTGTGGGTCGACTTTGTATATCATTTTCTGCCACTCTGTCGATCATTAATATATCAATGAAGTTAAATCTTTTGCAATCACATTGGACCGCATTAACTTCGGTATCTCTCCCTCTCTTACTAGCTCTTTTAGATTGCATCACTTCTGCCTATAAGAGCTTCCTAGGACATATGCCCAACACTATAGACAATAAAGATGGAGAAAACAACTCATCTATAAGTAAATTACTGCCTCTCCAGGGAGAAATACAATCATTCAAAGCTATATTTAAGCAAAATGTACCATTGAATGGAGGCAACAAAGCAATCATAACTGCATAGTAAAGGACATTTTCTGGTCCCGCTGAGAAGATGAATGGGTTTTTAAGTGTCCTTACATTTTCTCAATAGAATTGGAGCATGACAAAAGAAAGTTTAAGTCAGTTAATGGACTTGGAAAACTTACCTGCACAAAAAGCTCGAGTTCTTTGCCAATAGGAATAAGATCCAACTGCTTGTCAAAGCAAAAGACGTGGACCCTACTACCAGAACTTCCAGCGTCAAAAATCACAGCATAGCCTCTGGTTTTGGGATTCGGAGCGAACTTGCGAGGAAAGGACTCTATAGAATTGGCAGGGATGCGTGATGGCATGAGAAAGCACAGAAGAGTGATGAGTATGACAGGGACTGAGATCATGAGTATGGCACCACGATATCTTTGTATCTTGTCATAGACTGTCTCATGCCTGGTTTTCCTCGATATTTTATCCATTTGAAGTAGCTCGGCTTGGCCTTGTTGTGATTCTAAAAGTTCTGCAGCCGATGGAGATCGATATCGGATCTGACCATTTCCTGCCGATTTCAGTGCCTGCGTCTCCTGTACTGACTTCAGCTCTATTTTCCTCTGTATTTTTTTCTAACTGATATTATAGAGGAAATGGAGTCAGTAAGTAACAGTAACTCCAACATTACAACAGCATGCAAAGTGAAAATTGCATTGCAGATAGAGACAACTAACTGCTTCCAAGCAAATTCCATTAGCTACAATGCTTGTCTAATGATATATATGACTGAATCCTTTTCATACTTTGTATTGCTTCCAGGCAATCGAAATACAGTTTCATTCAATAAACCATGCAAGTCACTACTTCAATCATGTCAAAGCAGAATTGAAAAGCTTGACTTATGCATCTGGCCAACTCCTGGGAACTGTTTCAACTATGAACTATGATCTAAGCATATCAAGTCGCATGAGTTTTCACCTTTTCCAATCAAATTTCGTAAACTGAGACCAGCTGAATACAGTCTGATTACAGTTCTCTCATAAATTTCGGGGAGAACTATCAAAATATCCCACATTAGTGAAGCGTCTTTTGTGAAACCAAATCACACCCTATAAATTTATTTTTCCACCGACTAAAACACGTAATTAGATATAACATCTGAAAACAGTATTAAATCCAAAGAAAACGCAAGTCCTGTATACGGATAGTGACATCGAGAGGCAGACAGCCCACCATATGCCTGATCCAAATCAGAAGACGGCAAAGTAAAACTTCAATCACATTCATACAATTCAGATTCAGCAAGCATATAGATGCATTTTACCAGATCATACAAAACTAACCATTCAATTAATCAATCAAGCAAGCAACGAACAAATAGATCATAAACATATACAAAAACAAAACGAACAAAAACAACAAACCCACTTCCCAAACACCTGCAATTTCACTGTAATCAAACCCGATATCCATAACCACCTACAAATAACAGTGGCGCTTAACACATTGCAGAGTACATTCAAAATATTTAATTTCTACTGACCTTGAAATCTCTTGGGTGACAGGCACAGGTACAGAGCGTTGAATGCTGATGATCAACGATCAATTACAGATAAAGAAGCAAAAGTATGCAGTGTTTGTGTGTAGCGTAGAGTGCATAAAAACGCAGTAAAGTTCAGTGGTAGTGTTACGTTACGTTGTTCCACTTTTTCTAGATCTGAGTGTAAGTTTGATGTGGTGGAAAGGAAAATTGGAGGGAGGAAAATGTCGTTAAAGGAAAAATGGTAGGAAAAGGAAAATGTAAAATTCCTTTTATAAGCCCTAAAACAAGCACTTGAGTTTTATTATCCTCACTCGCATATTTCATTCAACAAAAGTTAACCATTTACGAATGCATAATTGGTAAAATTTTATTTTTATAAGTATTAGTAAGTTGTGGGTCTTACATACGTAATGATTGCATAATAAATGAGCACTAATTTGTATGTCATCTGAAAAGTTTGGAATAAAAAAGTTATGCTATATGTGTGATTTTAGGCTCTTTATGTGACCCATAACAACAAGAATTATAATGTTGAATAGGTTCACTTCTCTGAGTCTAAGTGCTTCAAGTTCCCAAAGGTTTCCAAAATATGGTTTGGTAGTGATTCTAGTAAAGACGATGGTGGTGACAGTAACCGTGACTTGTGCAAGTACGGTTAAGATTTTAATTTAAATTAAAATCAACAATTAATTTTAAAATTTGCAACATTCACCACTTTTCAATCACACATTTCACCAAATTGTATCAAATTCTCTCCAAAAGAACAATAATACTATGAGTACAGGAAGCATTTCACAGAAAATGTATAGGAATTCAAAAAATTTGAGCTGACATTTAAAAAAGGCAAAAGAAGTGAAAATGAAAATGGAAAATGAGCAAAACATAAGTTAATGAAAAAGCCAATAACGTCAGTCTTAGAAACGGGAATCCACGCCATTTCTCCCAAAAGAATTCCCATCACTCCGTCTCTCATTACTCTGCATCTCCGACCAACGACCGGTCGATCGCCCAATTAAACCTCTTGCCAGTTATTTTAAGCTTATTTCTTTAATTTTTTTGCAACTCATATGAACATTTTCTCAATCAAATCCTGAAGAAAAAATTGACATAGGAGAGCACATTCAATATAAATTTTATGTTCTTTTTGTGGGTTTATGGCATTTTTTTTTAAATTTTACTAAAAATTCCTATTTTTCCCTTCATGGGTTTTTCTTCCTCCATTATCTCTTCTTTTTTCCATTGAGAAGGGTATTATCAATGTATTTTTTTTATGCAAAAAGAAATTTTTTCAAACATGAAAAAAAAAAATCCTACTATTTCTTAATTTTCATATGCATCTTGTGATTCATTTTGACTTTTGTTAATTATGATTTATTTATTTAATATTTTCCATCTTTGTTCAAAGACTTGGACTAATACTCATATCCACTATTTCTGTAAGATCGATTTATATTGATTAAGATCGATTCACGTTGTTTCAATTGTTTCTTCAACAGTTATCGACTAGAATGAGATGAAGAAAATTTGAAGTTTCTCACAGTCGTAGGAATGAGACATTGACATATTATTGCAAATTTGCATGTGACTTTCAGCGAGGAAAAAGGAATTGCCAAAATGTGACGGGAAAGGAAAGGGGTCGGATTGAACGGGTGATTTGAATTACGCATGTGGTAGAAAGACTAATATGATATTGATTTCATTATTCTACGTGGAATTTGAATTGGAAAACCAGGCTGGGCAAAACATGGTTCCCAAGGGATGATTCCTTGCTCTGGTTTTCCACCTTTATGATGTTTGATTACATATTGTCACTCTCGTTTCTGCTAGAAATAAACCCACTGTATGATACATATTGTCACTCTCGTTTCCACTGGAAATTAGTAATATTATTATAATTAAGAAAGCGTTTTACTTCTTTTGAGCTTAAAACCTTCAGATTCATTTAACATGTACAACCAAAATACTTATCAATGTCATGATTTGGAGAGTTTCAACGTCAAAACAATAAAAACTAAAAAACAATAAAGCCAAGATAGAGAAAGGCAACCATCAGACGATACAAGTTAAGGTTGTAGGGTTGGAAAATGATTGTGATTGCCAGAACAAGTGACGCAGGAAAAAAGGGGATTCTAGCAGAGAATAAAATAGCAAAAAAGAAGCAGAATTTCATAACCTAAGCAAGAAGGATAAGAGAAGAAGAAGACGACAGCAGGGAAGAGAAACCCGAAGAAGAAGGATAAGTTAGGAAGAAGAGGAAGGAAAACGTAATAACCAAGCATCTTCATTTCATTAATTCATCAATTGAGTTCTTCAACAAGCCCAATAAAACATAAGGTCTAAAAATAAATGGAAGATATAATGGGCCCAAACAAATGGCCTGATGAAGATGTCCGCATCAATTCTCTCAGGGTGTGAGGAAAACTCGACCCTGTCGAGTGGTTAAATTACCACGGGGGACAATCTTTCTGATGACCCAAATATCGAAATTCAACAGTTGATAACAGTGAAAGTTGCAGCTTATCCTCAAAGCTATGATCCACCTAAAGAGGGCGATCTTTCTTTTTAATCAATTATCGATATTGATCTCCAAATAGTAAACGCTCATGCAACTCATCTCCAAAATCTTCACATGATTGTACATAATGAGGAGCGTAAGAAATTTGCACAGAAAGCTGGCCTGTAGAGGCAAAATATTGCAACATCGAAGACTCGAATGGGCCGCGATTAGGAAACAATTCTTCTACATTGAAAATATTACTTTCATTTAAATGAGTTGGCCAGTCAAATGGAAAACTTTTATACGAGTGGTCCAAAAACTTTTTCTTCGCATTTTTAGCAAATCGGATCAAAGAGACTCGCAATAAAGTATAGTACATATCAATAGAGCACTCTATTTTGTATTACACATTGAGAGTAAATTCAAAAATTTCATGATCGGAAATGATTTGACATTTTAACTTGGCATGAAATTTAGGAATATTGTCAACATAATGAAGAGCTAGAACAATATGTCGATAATTAGTGGGCAACATCCTAATGTCAATAGGAGTGTGCAATCAAGTAATGATCTTAGAGAACAATGTGGCAACCCGTGGAATCTCATGTAATTGAGGAAGAATTAAAATAAAGTCAACATAAAAGTCATTCAACATAATAGGCACCAGATCTAAGACACCTGAAATATTTGACTTAGATGGCATTACTTTAAGTACTTTCTCAATTATGTCACTGTGAAGTGTATCGACTACAGATATGGTCAAAATAGGGGACACAATACACTGTTCACAAGTCTTGACTTCTTTAAATATGGAGGAAAAAATTGTATATAATCATCTAAACAAACCCCTAGAGATTTTATAGCTTGCGAAAAGTAAGGTTTGATCTTTCAACACTCTTCTCTATAAGTCTTTTCACCACACTAAATGCAATAGGAGAAACCTCTTTGTGTTTATTTTGAACACTATCCAATAGAAGGGTAATCAAATCTAGAGGAATATTGTCATTTTCTTCTAATGTAAAGGTCATGATAGTCTATATGGATGTGAAGACATTCCCTAAATGATTTCCTTTCAGAGCTACAAGAAAGTGTTGGAAAATGTCAATTATCTTACGTTCACAATCTAGATCCAACATGATAAGGCAGTATTTTGCATCAGCCATTGTATCAAGTATCCTAATTGCCATAGCATACAAATTGATGGATGTGCTCGTGAGATATGCAAATGATGATATAATCATGAGAAATATATCTTGCACTATTTTAACACAAAAAGGGGAATTAGGTGCTGTAATGCTGAATATTTCACCAAGGCAAGAAACAACTGCTACTCGTATAGAACATTCAAGATGTGTTAATAGCTTATTTGAAATCAATGCTATGCCAATTGTAATAATGGATGTAAGCATGGAAGCATAAGGCAATTGGTCTACTCGTGAAAGCAAATACTCAGTGTGTTCAAATAACAATAGGAGTTATTTGAAGGCAATAAAAATTGAAGAATTTTTTGTCCATTTGTCAACAAGTGGACTCCTAATGTTTGATATTCATACCCTAACATTTTTTTTTTAAGTAACAAGCCAAAACACTTAAATAAAAAGTAAAACTTTCAATGCAAAAGATATCAATACTTGACGAGACTCAGGAGTCAAATGATATCCCATTCACGAATTTCACATTGGCAGGATTACGATGGCAAAATGCTATTGAATCGTTTGAGGGAATGTCAGTCAACAGAAATAAAAGATCACCTGCAAATAATATAAAAAAATTCTCCTTTTTTCACATTTTTTTAATACTAATCTATTACAATACAATCCAACCAAATAAAGTCCAAAATGAGGCCCAACAAACTAAAGGCAGAGACCCAATTGAAATAGATATTGCCTTTTACGTGACAAGGTCTGATCATTTGTTGAACTGGGGATTGTGGCATGGAATAAGCTTGGCATATAGATTCAACCTTACAGGTAATTTAAAAATGAATCTTGATGGCCCACTTGTTGGTAATAAAAAAATAAGAAAAAACATAATGGAGGGAAATGAGATGCATCCCACGTGAATACACTTTAATTCCCCCCAAAATAGCAAACGATTGCTCGTGGTTCCCTTTTCCTTCCAAGCTTGAAATTCAGCAGAACTTCCCTGCTCCACTACCATCCGACCAACAGAAATATTTTCCACCTCTGGCAGATTTCGACGTGAGCTGAACGAGGGACAACGGTCCGTCATTGCACCCATTTTCTCCACCGCGAACGAGCTGCGTGAGCTGAATGAGAAATCCACAAATTGGGGATGGTTGCCGGAATATCTTCTCCACCTCGAACTCTCTCTCACATCCTACATGACCTAAACTTCCGGCAGCGGTTCGAAATGCCCAAAACCCTCCTGCCATTTGCCCGTTTTCCACACAAGCCGTGAATTATTCGTGAGTGCACTATTGTCTATCTTTGTGTCTGTCATTTGCCCATTTTCATATGACAATATTATTGATATTCTTGTTAAGTATTAGCAATGTGAATTAACTTTGTGATAAATTTGTTATTACTTGGCAGCAATGTGAATAATTTTTGTGATGAATTTGTTGTAATATAAATATGTTATTACTTGGCAGCAATGTGTAGTGGGTGAATATGTATATATATATATATA